GGACTTTGGGGCGTGGGCCCCGGGCATTTTAAAAAAAAGGGGGAAGGGGGCCCCGGGGGGGGGACCCCCCCGGGTTCCCTTCTCTCGGGGGGGCCCCCCCGGGGGGGGGGGGGGGGGGGGCCCCCCCCCCCCGGGTTTAGGGGGGGGGGTGGAAAAGGGGGTTGGTTTCCTGGGGGGGGGGGGGGGGGGGGGGTACGCACAAATGGTGCCATCTCCACAGGCTCTTCTTGGACACAGGGAGGGGAGGGAGGGGAGTAGAGGTTTGAACCGCCGGCGTCTACATATACTCTAAACCTCGCAGTACTTGGGTGACGTTTGGCTAGCAGAGCCCTGAGCACGCTCGCCAATGATGGCGGTTGTGACTTGTGATTGATCGATCCGTCACGACAACGAACGTGTACCGGTTGTGTGGTGAAGTTGAAGGTGGGAGGGGTGTTATGTCGTCATCTGCCGACCACCGCTAGTACTGTACCTACCGCTACCGCCGGAGGTGTTTTTTTTGTGTCTCGATCGTCGAAAAGAGAACAATGACCTGCTGTTGTGCCTGCAACATTTGGGTGGAACAGACCCCAACACACACACAAGCAAATAATGATCCACCCCTTTTGGTACCCTCTTTTCCCGAAGCAGACGAGAACGCCGCCGCCTCCATGGGCGTGATGGCGAACGCGTCCTACAGGCGCCGCCGGCGCAAGAGCAAGAGCAACAGCGTTGGCTTGGTCGGCGACGGCGTCGCTGAGGGCATGCGGGCTTCCGACGCCAGCAGGCAGTACAGCAGGCAGTACAGCAGGCAGCACTCTGACGGAGAGAGGGCCGCCAAGACTACCAGCGCCGTGGCTCAGGAAGCGTTTAACGCCGGCGGGGCGCTGCAGACGGTGGAGGGAAAGGAGGAGGGCGCGGTAGCCCTGAGGGTGAGAGCGACGGGTCCCCCCCTGGTGGTCTGTGAGGACGAGGGCGCCAGGACACGTACTGCATTTGTTGTTTGACACTGTAATAATCGTGTCTGGTTGCTATTGTAGTTGTTGACACTACTACTGCAATTTGTGTCTGGTTGCTATTAGTGTGGTTGTTGACACTACTACTACAATTTGTGTCTGGTTGCTATTTAGTAGTTGTTGACACTACTACTGCAATTTGTGTCTGGTTGCTATTTAGTAGTTGTTGACACTACTACTGCAATCAATCGTGTCTGGTTGCTATTGTAGTTGTTGACACTACTACTGCAATCAATCGTGTCTGGTTGCTATTAGTGTGGTTGTTGTTTAGGCACAGTTTGGAAACCGGCCCGGTCTTGTCTCAGTTTTTTCCTTCGAGCATCCGGCACGCCATGGATTTTCACGAACCCGGAGTGTGTACGAATGTCCACCACATACAGACACCAAGCACGCGCGAGAAAGGTGCGTGGCAGGCACCCCACGCCATGTCGTTTTCGTTTTTCTTTCCTGGGCAGGTTTTCAAGATCTACTTGAAGGACGGGTCCGGGGGCTGGTTCCTGCCGGTCGTGCTCGTGATTGCCAGCGTCCTCACCCAGGCCGTGACGAACGTGTTCGACTGGTGGCTGTCCTACTGGTCCGACAAGTTCCTGGAGGACGGAGCGGTAAGTATGTCATTTATGATCTGACGTACAATATTTTCTGCTCCCTCCCTCTCTCCCTCTGTCCCTCTCTCGCTCTCTCTCTCTCTCTCTCTCTTATTTTGCTCATTCGTTGTGTTGGTAGATATTTCCTTCGTGGTTTGGTCGCGCGTTTGTTTGTGATTTTGACCTGCTCAAGTTTCTTGGCACTCCGACGATCAAGACAAACGTGTCCCCGCTT